TTTTCTAAGAAAATTAATTCCCTGTCAAACATTTTCTTTCCACCCATACAATCAAACGGACCCTAATATCATTTCCGACACGGTTGTGCTATATATACATAATAATTTGTATACACATGATGTGGTGAGATATGGTTGTCAAAAATTTTGCAATCAAATTACAAAAAAAACATCACATCTATATATAAATCATTATTTAACTTATTATAACATTATTCACAAATAGGCACAATTATCATATCTTGACTACTAAAAAGTTGATCACGACTTAAAATTAATTTGAGAAAGTAAGCATATCAATTATCACCCAATGTTAACCTCTATAAGCCCTCTCTTTGTCCCCATTTTATTAAACTCATTTTTTTGAATTCATTTTTAATCACATTTCATAGGACTCACTACTTTTACCAATTTTTTAATCACATATTTTATCAAAATTTACTAAAATTTTAATTTTAAATTAAACCAAACATAAATAATCTAAGACAAATTTAAACGTATACCCATTACTAAAAAAATTTAAACTAAAGTAATGCAAAATATCGAGGTTCAAATTTCATTACCTTCCATTTATAAGAACTTATGCAAATTTCGAATGATTGATTGAAAACTATATTCAGTTTACATATAAGAGAGCATGTTAAAGGCAAGATTCAATTCTTTTCTAACAATTTAGTTTTTAGACTTATTTAAATTACAAAAAAAAAATAATAATAATAAAATTGAAAAAGTCAATTTGAAGGTAGGTAAAAGACAATATAAAAAGAGTATTTTGCTATTTGCTCCAAACTCATTTTGCACATAGATTGTGTTTCTCTAATAATGCAATTGGACTTCTAAGGACAAATGTTGTGGTTCATGTGCCACAATTAGTTTAGTATTCAACAAATACTTAGTCGTCCCTACGTACATTATGCAAAAGTTATGCCTTTGTTGCCACCCGTTTATTTTCTACAACATATCATGCCGATTCAAGGCCTCAATTTTGAAAATTTTATAGGTTAATATTACATCACGTGATGATATGGTAATATTCGTGGCACAATAGAGAAGGATTAATGAAATAATAGTCTTGTCATACAACTTATTTTTGTATTATCTGAACTAGTTGATTCATTAGGGTCGTCACCTTCCACCCAAAAAAATCATTTTATTATTTTTGTTAATGATTCTAACCAAAATCAATTTTTTGGATGCTACAAGAATTTGTATTCTCAAATCATATCGGGGGGTTTGCATTTCTTGAAAACTTGTTTGGTACAGCTCAAAATCAGATTAAAATTGAAAATATAGTCGTTATTGGGTCTCACTTATCTAATAAAAGTCAACAATAACGGCTAAGTTTTCAATTTTTATCCGATTTTAATCTCTATCAAACACGTCTCGAAGAAATTTCATTTCATCTACTATTAATAGTTTCTCTAGAAGGGAAAAATAGTAAAATTTCATAATTTAAGATCAATTCTTTCAATGATTAGACTGTATGTAGAGGTGTTAGAGACAGATTGACCCATAGCTAAAGAAGCCTAGAACTGGTCATGCTATGGATTGGCCTAACCTGCACGAGCATTTTAGAAAAACATTTAGGGTCCGTTTGAGTGTAAGGGTGAAAAGAAAATGAATTTTAGATAATTGCCTAAAAATTATTTTTCAGGGAATTAGAAATTAAGTGTATTTGATTGGTATAATTTTCCACCTGGAAAATTTTTAAATTTTGTGTTTGTTTGACTTTATTTTACATGGAAATTATCCATGAAAGTGATTTTTTTTTACAATTGATTATGTAATTTGTTTCCATTACCAAAAAAATAATAAAAAATAAAATAAAAAACAGCAACATGAAATTCATTTTCCTACCAAAAATGTGGGAAAACCACTTCCACCAAATTATGGAATTGGCACATGTGTGAGGGAATTGTGGAAAACGTTTTCTAGGAAAAATTTATACCATCAAACATGCCAAAAGATGGAATTTAAATTCCATTTTCTATGGAAAATATCCCCTATCAAACACACCTTTAGGGCTCTCTCTCCTGCGGGAGAGAGCCGTTTGACCTTTGTGCATGTCACAAGTAGAAAATTTATTTATTTTTATTTTATTATTAAAAGGGTTGATTACACATGTAGGCCAAATTTAGGTTTTGAATGGGATAAAAGTGTTAAAATCACAAAACTTGCAGATTTGCAAATTAGGTTTCCAACATTTTACCATAAATTCATGAGATTACACATTCAATTATTTTTGGAAGAAAATTATCAATTTAAAAATTAAAATGTTATGTCAATCGATCCACAAAATATATGCTTAACAAACATCTAAATAATCCAAAATCTTGCCCAATATCGCTGGAAAAATTAAAATTAAAATAAAATAGATTTTTAGAGCAGAAAAATTACTTCTTGCACTGATTTTGGAGGAGCATTAAAAGAAGTGTTGGGCCAAGTGGCCCAGGCCCAATGCAGTCTATTCACTTTGTTTCAAAGTTGAGATATGTATTTTATGTTTGCTGTCTAATTTGTTGTCCACTCAATTACAATTGACACACCATGAAAATTTAAGTTGTCATCAATTTTAGTTTTTCAACCTTAATATCAATTTTAATTTTTCATAATGTGTCAATTTGTAATTTGGTAGACAACAAACTTGAACAGTTGATCTCATAGTAAATAAAAAATCCCCATTTACAAGCTCAATACTCCAAAGACAAAAAAGAAGAAAATGGACTGCATCCCGGCGATTATACCTTTCTTCTTCATCCAAAAGAGAAAGTGTGAAGAGAGAGAGACGGCCACTTTTATATGAGAGATATTTAGTGAGCAGTAATGAACGAGTTAATGAACAGTAGCTAAGTGATTGAAGTGTAAAAATAAGTGTAACAAAAATGAATAGCAAACCATTGGATCTCTCTTTTAAGAGTGTGACAAAAATGAATAGTAAACCATTGAATCTCTCTTTTAAGAGAAGAAAGAGAGAGAATTAGTGAGTTGGGGTCATGAACGCTAATAATCAGCCCATCAAAATTGCCAAACCAGTTCCAAAAAGTCAAGGGTGAAAAGGAGTAACTCAACTTTGGACATTAACTATTGGTACTTTTTAATTTTAAGATATAGGGATAAGAGAAGAGAATTAGTGAGCTTGGGGTCATGAACATTAACAACCATCAAAATTGTCAAACAAGTTCTAAAAAGTCAAGTGTGAAAATGAGGAACTCAACTTTGAACAATAAGTATTGGTAGAGTCTTTTAAGGTATAGGGAATAGGGAGACAATATACAAGTAGCATTATTCAGAATTAGCGACATTTATCATATTTTGACTACGAAAAAATTGATCACGACTTAAAATTAATTTGAGAATGTAAGCATATCAATTATGACCCCGTGTTAAACTCTATAAGCCCTCTCTTTGTCCCCATTTTCTAAAATTCTTTTTTCTTCGAATTCATTTTTAATCACATTTTATAGAAGTTGCTACTTTTATCAATTTTTCAATCACATATCTTATCAATTTCATCAAAATTTACAAAAAAAATATAATAATTAATTTTAAATTAAACCAAACATGAGTTAAATAATCCAAGACAAATTTAAACGTATAACCATTACTCTGAAATTTTAAACTTTTAAATAAGATAGTTAATACTTACTAAAGTCATGCAAAATATCACGGTTCAAATTTCATTACCAT